ATAAGATATAAGATATAAGATATGATATAAGATATAAGATATAAGATATAAGATATAAGATATAAGATATAAGATAAGATAACCTTTTTTGTCATTTTTTTTACTGTGGGCACAATGGCACACATCAAAAATGAAATTTATTTGCCCATTCTCAAAATGAAACACATACATGACACACACCTAAACATACTATATACAACATATGTATAGACCTACACCCCTACATATACATAACAAATAAATATTAAACACTGTCCATCTTGAATATATAACGGAAGGAGGAAGCTGAAGAGTTCACAATGTTAATGCTGTATGGAATGAAACTGTGGCTGAATCTGGATGTTCTGCTTCGGATACCACGAAGCCTCCTCCCTGAAGATAACAAGGAAAACAGGTCATGAAGAGGATGTGTAGTGTCCCAGATAATCTTATGGACCCTGCTCAAGCAATGCTTATATGCTATGTCCTGGATGGGAGGGAGGGAACTGCCAATGATCTTTTCAGCTGTCTTCACCACTCTCTGCACTGTCTTCCTGTCTGAAACAGTGATGGTCCCAAACCAGACTGTGATGCTGTATGACAGGATGCTCTCGGTCATCCCTCTGTAAAAAGTGGTAAGGATAGGAGAAGGAAGATGTGCTTTTCTCATATGATGCAGAAAATACAGGCGCTGCTGTGCCCGCTTCACCAGTGTCTCACTGTTGAGCTACCAAGCCAGCCTATTCGTTAGCTGCACACCCAAGAACTTGCTAATGAGTAGGCTGGCTTGGTCACTCGACAGCAAGACACTGGTTAAGAGGGCACAGCAGCGCCTGTATTTTCTGCATCGCGTGAGAAAAGCACATCTTACTTCTCCTATCCTTACACTTTCTACATCAAAATTCTATCTATCTGTCTTGCCCCATCCTACCTTAAAGAGAGTTGATATTTTTCCCACTGGTTGCTGATATTTAGTGGAACGCCATACAAAGCCACGAGAACCCACCAATCACTTTCTTTAACTTCCTCTGTATTAAAATTGTAATAAGAACAACAAAATTCACCGGCCTTGTTAACTGAGGCAAAATAGGATTTAGCAATCAAGGCAGTACAATTTATATTGGCATATTTTTCCTGCTGACTCGGGGAAAGGGGAAATAAACACAAATGCAGCCATGAGGAAAAACATTTTTTAATATAAATTAAATAGAAAGTAATGTACTTTCCATTTATAGACTTATTATCAGTACCTTACCAGGTGCTGTTCTGTGCTGCCACCTATTATCTGCTCTTGAATACTGCAATACACCAAATGAAAAGTGAAAACAACAGTGTTAATATTGGGATTGCTCATGTGAGCTGTATCTTCTCACAAACTGTGGGGTTTTTTTGAGTGGAAAATAGGTATTTGTAGAATATGATCTATATTGTGAACTATACCATACATATAATTTATAGGGCTGTAGATTTTGCTTCAGATATAAGATGGTAAATCAACATTTAGATTCAGGTCCAGAGGACAGTGGTTTTCCCTTCCCGCTAAGTCAACGTGCTAACATTAACATTGCTTAGTAAATGTTAACATATTGACTTAGTGGAAAATCCTGCTTCATTTTTTTGCTCTGATTTTAGCTTGTATCTCACTGTGTTCATTTGTGATTTGCTTTGCTTTG